CGGGCTCAGGCAATCCACTCACCTCATCCTCCCAAAGGCGCAGGATTACAGCCCGGCTGCCTCATGGTATTTTTGTGTTTTACTTAAGAAGGCCTCGCCAAGCCCAGGGTCACAAAGCTTTGCTCATCTTTCCTCCTAGAGCCTTGGCTCTTGCATGTAGGTCTGTGGTTCAGAGTGACTTTGTGTGCTTTGCGTGACAGGGTCCAGGCTTCGTCTTTGGCAGGGGGATATCCGGCTGTCCCAGCATCACTTGTGGAAATGGCATGAGTATTTTGTTTCAGCTTTGTATCTACTTGAAACATAGACTGCAGCCAGGAGTATCATGAACCTCCAGCTTCAGCTGTCATCATTCTGCCACTTTTCCATTGCCATTTCCCCTCATCTTTTCTTTTTCCTGAAGTCTTCAACAAAATCCCATTTTTAGCAGTTTTCCAGGTGATTCTAATGTGCAGCCAAGGTTGAATTACCGTTGAAAGGATCATCACAATCTTGTCACACACATGTATTGATACTTAGAAAGCATTTTGAAACTACTCTTTATTCTGTAAGAGGGAACTAAAGGTTACTACTCATTTAAAAATATCAAACAGCCTGGGCACATAGCCAGACCTCGTCGCCGCAAAATTTTTTTAAAAATTAGCTGGGGCCGGGCACGGTGGCTCAAGCCTGTAATCTCAGCATTTTGGGAGGCTGAGGCGAGGGGATTGCTTGAGCCCACGGGCTTGAGACCAGCCTGGGCAACATGATGAGACCTGGTCTCTACAACTAAAAAAAATATTAGCTGAGTGTGGTAGCGTGTGCCTGTGGTTCCAGCTACTTGGAAGGTTGAGGCGGAAGGATCACCAGAGCCCAGTAGGTCGAGGCTGGAGTGGCTGTGAGCATGCCACTGCATTCCAGCCTGAGCCATGAAGTGAGACTGCCAACTCAAAAAAAAAAAATTATCTGGGTGTGCTGGCATGCACCTGTAGTCCCAGGTCCTCGAGAGGCTGAGGTGGAAGGATCTCCTGACCTCAGGAGTCGAGACTGCAGTGAGTCATGATCGTGCCACTGTGCTCACTCCAGGCTGGGCAACCGTAGCTCAAACAAACAAACAAAAATCCCCAGACATTTTAATACCTAAACCGCGGTCAAGGAATCTGATCTTCTGCCCTAGGATCACGTGTGGCTTTGTGTGCTTACTGGTTTCTTGAAGCCAGGGGGTCGAGATCCTCACCCGGTCTCCTGAGCATGTCCGCATCGCGCAGCCTGTCAGCTGCAGCCTGCTCCCCGGCCAGCCCAGTTCGCGTCCCTCGAAGCCCGCCGGCGGCGCTGGCTCTCGTTCCACCTCGTGCCCCCTTCCTCTCCCTCCACCCCTGACCAGGCCTCTGTCTCGCAGGTACATCCCCACGGCGGCCGCGTTCGGCGGCCTGTGCATCGGCGCCCTGTCGGTGTTGGCCGACTTCCTGGGGGCCATCGGGTCGGGCACCGGGATCCTGCTTGCCGTCACCATCATCTATCAGTATTTCGAGATCTTCGTGAAGGAGCAGGCCGAGGTGGGCGGGATGGGTGCTTTGTTTTTCTGAGCGTGCGGCGATGTGCGCGCGCGCGTGTGTGTGAGAAAGGGAAACATTGTGGCACGCTGTTTTTGTCAAATGACGCGGGTGGTCCCCCTCTCCCCCTCGGTTTCCTGTTTCCAAGTGCTGACTGTCCCACTTCGAGAGGGGCCCCGAGCTCCGCCTGTGCAGCATCAGGACCAGCTGCCTTAAAACTCCAGTTTACATCCTCCGTCCCCAGCGTCCATCTAGTGTGGTTGCCTGTGCTGCTGGACGCCGACGTCTCTACTTGCTGTGTTCGGTCCCGACAGGGAGATGGCGACATGGACTGGTTTTGCGCACACATTCACAGCACCCAATCTCTCTCCCACTTGTTTAAAAATAAATGTAGTTCAAACGGCCACTTTCCAGTATTTTTGAGCTTATTTAATGAGTTCTGGAACATTTCTATCAATCTCTATTTTAGATAATTACTTTTTGTACTTTTGTAGCTCGTGGTATCCCCGCCTGCCACCCCCTCCTTCTTGCCATTTGTCCCTTCTCAGTGCAGCCACTTGGCCCCGAGGGCCGAGTCGTGCATCAGGTCACTCGCGTCCCTCGAAACGGCCACTTCGGGCCACTCTGCCTGTTCCTCCGTCCTCCGTCCTCCCCAGCGTCAGCACCGGCAGCGCTGCTGGGCTGTGTCAGCCGAGCCTTCTGGTCCCGACCAGCCCCTGCGATGCTCCTTCAAGACGCTCCGCCCCAATTCTTTTCCCTCTGAATCCCTAGAGCAAAGACCTGAGCCTGGCAGGTCTGCAGTTCCGTGGGGTGAACACTGCGTAACTCATGCTAAGAGTCTGTGTATGTTGTTGTGCTCACGGCAGCAACATGAGTGTCCACAGTAGACAATAAACTTTTATTTAATAAACTGATTCAGTTGTGTTGGAAAAATAAAGAAATCTGATATCAAATGTTTTCTAAGTTATTTGTACAGGTTCATTGGATTCATACAAAGTCCATTCTGAGATGCCTACTGAAAGTCAAATGTAATCATGCTTCCGTGTTTAATCCTGGATCATTGAGGGACAGTGACCAGCTTAAGGGACACATTCACATGATTAACATTTGGAAAGACACAGGAAAAGTGGTCTCAAAACAGTATATCCCAGTCTCCATCTGCAAGAGCACAGGCCATCACCCATTTTTAAGATCAAACTTATTTTTTAAAAGAGGTCCTTTCCAGAAATACAGCTTTCCATTGTTTACTTTCTTATTAAGTGTAGCAAGTACGTGTTGTTTAAGCTTAGGATCGCAAAGCCAAGTCATGACAGTGGCAAGACATAGAGGCAGGTGGGATGGTAACAGCAGTCCACCAGTGAACATCTCCCAGGGGCTTCAGACCACTGTTACCACAGAACATGGGCCCAATGCTGTGTCGTCTCATTTTTTTCAGAAGAAGGTAGAAACATGGCTTTTTATAGGAAACCTTCCATTTTTAAATGCAGGGTAAATAATTTTAAACAATGCTAGCCAGTGAAAAGATCCAGACTGCCAGTTCTCCAACTTTGACTTAATTTCCAAAGCACAGCCTTTGGATGTTTACAGAAAACACAATGGTGTCATGGACACGTAGGGTTTGGCAGTCATCCTGAGCTGTACTCTTGGGAAGAAAGGCAGGCAGAAGGGATAGAGGTAGGGTTAACTCAAGTAGGTGTTCCCGGGAGGGCTCTGGAAGAACTGGTCTGTGTGCAAAGACTGGGTCATGCCTTGCCGCTCCTTGATTGTGAAGCAGGGATGTGTCGGGAAATGCTAGGACGTGGGCCTTCAGAGCTCAGGGAAGAAGACGCGGGATCTGGAAAGCCATGATGCCCGTGACTCCAACCAGGATTTACAAAGAGAGCTCAAGGCACAGAGGAGGCGACACTACCCCAGAAGCGGGACCTCAGCATTCCCAATTGAGGGCGAGCAGACTTGGTCTGCAAGGGTCTGTACTTCCATGGTTGTTTCTGTCCTCGTCTAAGAAGTCCAATGTAAGGATCTTGGGTTTTCTTGGAGTTAAAAAATAAAAACATGCATTTTCACTCAAAACTTGTAGACTAATGAATGACGTAGCAGCATCTGTGAAATTTGTACCCTGATTTCATCTGGGGAGCCACTGCTGCGTGTTTCTGAGGGCGTGGCTTACCCCCCAGATCCAGGCTAGAGGCGTGACCTGGGGCTGGCCAACCTGGACCATCCTGAGATGTCCATGGGGGCCAAGCTGCAAAGTCCTGGAGAAGCCGGAGCTGCTGGAGGCCCTCAAGGCACCACGAGCTCAGCTCACTGAGATAAAAGGCCAGTGGCCCAGCAGCACTGGCAGAGCTCCTGGACAACAGGGGTGCGGCATGGCCCGAGCCAGAAACCACTCCCACCTTTTCTACCTTGAAATCGTTTGTGTTGGGTCTCCTCATGGTTACCACCAAGATAACAGTGCCCCAAACCATATCAATTTCATCACTATGGATTTACTTTTAGAAATATGTCATGTATTCTTTGAGGTAAGGACAGGAAATCAGATCCTAAGGAATGTGCCCGGGCTTGAGGGAGGAGTCCTGCGCCCTGAGCCTTGGGGTCGGGCACAGAAGCAGTCAAGAGTTGGGTCAGCTTCAGGGCACCAACGTATTTACTCGTCACAAGTGTTACTTTCTGTTGGCTTCATGTCCTCTACTCCTCAGTTGGATTCCATACAGCAATTAAATTAATTAGAAGCAATTAATTTAATTTTAAAAAGTTCCTAAGTCTTTTTGAAGCTCTGTTTTATAAACTACCACAGTAAAAAACTTACGAGCATATCAAGTGAGAGTTTTCTGTTGGGAGTTGACCTGATTTAGGACTCAGTTCTGTTTTCCTACAGAAATACCCCTACCTCCTGGACTAAAAAAGTGCTAGCTGGTTAAAAAAAAAAGGAGGAGTAAATACATCTGCATTTATGTTCTTTGCCATTAATATTAGCTGGACTTTAACACGCTGAGAGTTTCAGCCTGCCTGCAATTATAATTCCATACCACTGTCATGTGCATTTGGCACTGCTTTTATTTTATCAAAAAGCTAATTCCAAATCTACATTAAACTACGTTGAATACGAAGTCTTAGTGAAGAAGGCCTGGTGGTCTTGTTTACAAAAACATGGTCAGTGTCGTCTTTGGCCTTAAAATTTCAGGAAGGGCACTTCAAATGGCTTCGTGTTCGCGTGTTTCAGCGCCAGAGCATAGGAGTAGACTCTGGCGTCCACCGTGAGATGTTCTTCAGCTACCAGAGCTGTGGGAAGCAAAGAACACAACTCACGTGATGCAGTTCACAAAGGACAACACTCCTTAGTCATGTTTACCAAGCAGCTACCGTATGCCAGGTCTGTGCCGGATGCTGGGGATGTTTTCTGCTTTTAAGGATCTTACTTCGGAGGAAGGCTTCAAGGCTATAAAGCCAGGACCCCATTCCCCACATGGGACAAGAACATCAGGGACAGTGATTTCATGCATTAAGACAGCAAGGCTGTACGTTTATGCCCCAAAGGCTAGACCTCATTTGTTGCTCAGGAGGGCTTTGCTGCTCTGAAACTGTATGGGGTGATCTAGGGATCCAGTGTCTTTTCCTGCCAGAGGATGCACATTTCCTCCCCGCAAGTTAAACTGGGCGTGCTGGGACCGGAGGTGTGCTGCCAAGAACGCCGCCGCTTGTCACCACAGGCTCTCAGGAGGACTTCTGTTTGGTTGTGACGGAGGTTGCTAGGCTGTCCATCTGTTTGTGGTTTTCCTTGCACTCGAGTGGCAGCAAGCTCCGAAACAAGTCGACCCCTGAAGGCAGGGAGCATGCCCTACTCCTCTGGGCACGGCAGGGGCCTGGTGGGTGTCGAATGCGGCTCTTTGGGGCAATCTGGTCTTAAGTTCCCTCCTCACAGCTTCTCAAATGGTGCTCCTTGGAGAAACAGCTTGCGTGCTCTATTCTGATTCTGTTGAAGTGAGGCCTGTGGTTCTTTTCTCTCTTCCTTGCTACATGGGCAGCCCTCTCTCCCTCCACTCTTGCCTTATTTTTTCCTCCCACTTCAAAGATCAAAAGGGATGTTAGGCAGAAGTTAGGAAGTGAGGGGGAAGGGGGAGGAATTTTTTAAAAGGATACCTTTCTACTAAAAATAAGACACGTGGAGCGTGACATTTAAGCACCTGCCTGTGTTATCCCGCCTTCACACACACCTCCCTTGGAGGGAAGGAGTACCTGCTACTGTTCCTGCTGATGGGACAAAAGCACAGAGAGGCCCGGGACCCTGCTTCAAGTGACAACTGACCATGCTCGTCTGAGCCTCCAGCCCAATCAGGCCTGCCAGACCCTGCCTTGTATCAACTGACATGGCTTTGTCGGAATAAAAGCTTGGTAAGTGGTTGCATCTTTTCAGCATGGCTATTTCTATTCTGGCTCTGAGATCTTGAGGTGGCTTTGACCTTAGGTCTAGTTTTTTAAAAAGTAAAATAGGAATGGAGACAGTCTGCAACCTGAAACCACAGCAGCTTTGAACGCCCCAAGTAACTTTTCAAACAAGTAACAGACATTTCAAGCCTAGTGCTCTGCTTAGACAGTGAACCTGTAAGCCATTGCTCCTCAGGGAAGGACACGAGAAACTTCCCAAAGCCACAGGCCAAACAATGCTTCAGGCTGAATTTGGAAATAATTCCTTAAAAGCACCAGAAAAATTAGCTATCAGTTATCTGAAATACAATTAATACAGTATTCAATGTATGAAAAGGGTCTGCTGCTTTATCAATGAGTGAGTGGGGCCTACGAGCCGGCAAAACCCACAAAGGGTCCAGCCGTCATGTCAGTGGCACCGTATCTGCTCATGCCATTGCATCCAAGGGTAGCTCTCCATCTCTATGAGATGGCTGGCCTGGAATCACACAGTGTAACTACATGACCAGTGGTTTCCTCAGGGCCACACAGCCAGTTTGGCTCATTAAGTCAGTATGTCACACCATGACACAGTAGACGCCACAAGCCCTTGAAGAAGGAATACCGCTAAATTCTCCTTCAACGTCCCCCTCCACTAGCGTATTTAAGGAAAAGCTAAGAGATGCCTACTTATACCTTTGTGCTGCTGTGGACTGAGGATTTAAAGTACAGAATAGTTCTGATGACTCAGCAGGAAAATAATCTTGACCGTTCAGTAAAATCAAAGCCTCTACTTAAAGCTTTCACTTGGCACAGAATGTTTTGCTTCTGTTTTCAAATTTTACACCACCCAGAAAGGAAAACTAGTACTGGTCAACTGCAGTTTACGACAGGTTCTAGGTTCTTTAACGATATAAAGAAGATAAAAAAAGGAGTTGTATCTCACACCCCATTTGCTAGGAGGGGGAAATGGAGAAAGCTGGGTGACAGCTTTGAGAATGCTTACCGTCAAGTCTGTTCAGCAGGTCATTCTTTGGTAATGAAATTACTTCCACAAATTCTAAACAAACAAAGTGCAAGTGAAAACAAAGTCACAGAACCAGAGCTTACGAAAACAACCCCAGTGTCCAGCCATTACCACTCCCACTGACATTCTCGCAGTCAGCCACTGCAGCTGAGTGACATACCTCCGTCCCCTGGAAAGAAACAGAAGGAGAGCGTTTCAGGAAGGCTGGCGTGAGCACACGCTGAGGACGCTAATGCAAGACATCAGAAGGGCTGGGGGAGTCTCACAGAAACCTAGGTCTTTACAGACATAATTTCTATAGGTGGTGACACCAATTCCAACAGTATAAAGTTATTATTCTTCAAATAATGTTAACAGCAAAATTCAAAGCATGTTCTATAATGTGTGTATGTATACACACACATGTGCCCGAGGGGGGATCCACAAATTGGGAATTTACTTATAAGAAACTGTGTATTCTTGCATGTTTACACTTAAGTCACCTTCAAAGTACTCTCCATTTGATGCAAACACCTATGGAGATGCTTTTTGCACTGCTCAAAACACTTTGAACTCATCAATTTGGATGCCTTTGAGTGCTGCTGCTGTTTTTTGTTTCACCTCTTCCACATGGGCAAAACGTGTCCCTTGGAGGCCTTTTTTCATCGGGGAAACAAAAGTTACCCACGATGAGATCAGGTGAACAGGGAGGGTGGGGCATGGGTGTTATGCCATTTCTGGTCTAACTGCTGAACACTCAGTGCAGTGTGGGCAGGTGTGCTCATAAATCATCCACCATGAAATGGGCACGCATGTTGAAAGAATCTCCAAAAAAAAATTCTCTGAAGCCAAAGGCAGCCTCTCACAACAATGCTAGATGGTACACTGATGACGCTGGTTCCCAGATGATGCTGACAGAGGAAGACTGTACCACAAGGGGCCTGCCCGCCAAAAGATAATTCCGGGTTTTGCTGGGTCTTCCTTACACAGAGTTCTTTTGTACAGATATATGTATATCTGTATACTGTGGTAAAATACAAGAATTTGCCATTTTATAACCATTCTTGAAGGTGTAACTCAGAGGCATTAAGCGACATTCACAGTGTTGTGCAATTACCACCACCATTCATCTCCAGAACTCTCTCGCCTTCCCAAACAGAAACTCGGTACCCGTTCAACAGTAGTCTCTGTCCCTGGTAACCTCTATTCTGCTTTCTGTCTCTGAGTTTGTCTGTTCCTAGTACCTGATATAAGCAGAATCACACAATATTTGCCTTTTGGTTGGCTTATTTCACTTCACGCAACGTTTTCAAGGCCCATCCACGCCGTGGCACGTGTCAGCATGTTTCATTCTCTTATAGGTGAACAATGATGTTCCACTGTGTGGACGTTAAGTACCATTCTGTATATCTGCTCTAGACACACTGGCTGTTTCCACTTTTGGCTACTGTGAGTGATGCTGTGATAAGCATGGGTGTACAAGTCTTTGTTGAGTTCCTGCTTTCAATTCTTTTGGGTAAATACTCAGGAGTGGACATGCTGGATCATGTAATTCTTTAATTTTCTGAGGAGCTGCCAAGCTTCCCCACAGTGTGTCATATGTATGTCTGCAGTTCAAAAGTTAAGCACTTACAATTAGCTGCGATGAGATATTGAAACAAAGATGTGAACAAGTAAAGAGGGTGAGAAATTAAGGAATCTCACTCATACATGTCTTACTGTGGTATGCATATAAACACGCTCTCTGGGAGGGGGGGAGAGAAGACAGGGAGTTGCCAGGGGCATCAGAGCTTTTAAATCTGAACTTGAACACAGAGCTTCCCAGCATCCTCTCAACTAGGCGAGGCATGGTGACTAAGCTGCCCCTTCACAATGACATGCTGTTCTGACCACAGATGTGAAGACAGAAACTGGCAATTCTGAACTTCTTCACGGTTGACTATTTAGACCTATAGCTCATACAACAAAGTGGGGAATAGACATCACAGAAAGGACGGACACATGGTACTTAACATTACATGTAAAGAAGGCACACAGACCAACCAAGATTAGGAAAGAGCCAAGATGGAGCAGCTGCGAAAGACTGGTCCTTTCGATGAAAGACTCAAAACGCAGCCAGCAGCAAGCTCCAGGGTATTTACCGCCACTCCGCCACCACAGACGCAGCCACACACTCACCTGGCTTTGGCTTGGGCCTTACGTTTTCTGCAACGTCTCCGTTGATGGTCACTGTCACGACGTGTGCGGTACAGTTTGACAGACCCGGATCCATACACACGGCTGTGGGGAGGAGCAGCGGCAGATGAGTCACGCCCCCTGCCACCTGCCTCGCCACTTACACACTTGGAGGACGGTGGGGCTTCCAGCTCAGGGCTGCCCCGGAACCGATGTGGGAACGTGCGTGGTCGTTTGCAGCTGCGCGTGCCGGAGGCCTGCATGGCACATGCATGGAGGATGTGCGTCTCCCTAGAGCTCCGAATCAAGTTGGGCCGGTCTGAGGGCTGAGCTGGGGATGGGTGAGTCATGAAATCCTTTCCCCACATCAAGTGAGGCGCATGGCAGGCAGACGAGGTGAGTAAGCGAGAAAGCCTAGTGTGTGGGTTGTTCCGGCAGGCAACTGGACGCCATCATTCTTTCCCATCTCTGGTCCCTCCTGTTCCAACATGCTCTCGGGGGAGGGGAGATTCACTGGCAGATGGCGACCAATCCCAGTCTAGGATTTCTGAATTGGCCAAAGAAAAGCCCTTTGAATTCTGACCATAAGGAACACCCAGACAGGATGAGCGCAATGCCTCACCCTGTAATTCTAGCATTTTGGGAGGCTGAGATGCAAGGATCGCTTGAGGCCAGTAGTTCGAGACCAGCCTGGGCAACTTGGCGAGACCCCCCATCTCTGTTACAGCAACAAAAAAGAACACTCACAGAATCAGTCCCTCCACACCCAGAGGAACCAATGGCTCGTGAATTGTGAGAGTGTTCTCAAGCACCCTCAGAGAGCCATACCGACCTGGAGAACACTCAGCAACGTCGCCTTTATAGCCAGTTTCTTCCTCAAGCTCCCGAAGGGCAGCTGCTTCTGGGCTCTCACCTTCATCAATGAGACCTGGGGGCCAAACCATGTGTGAGATAGAGTGGGAAACCCAATTCTTTGGGCCTCTTGTTCTTTCTAGCAGCAGCTGCTGAGCTGCTTTAGAAGAAGCAGAGCACTGTGGAAAGCAGCCTTATGGATGGAACTGACTGGGGCGTGGGGCCTTCACAGGAGAAAAGAGCAGAAGACAGCTCCAGGCAATGAAACAGGGTTTAATGGCGCCACCGCTCCTCTGACTCAGAGCCCGATTTCCCTGGTGACCATCTCCATGCTGTTCCACATGCACAGTGTCTGTGAGGATTAGGGACTTACTGCTGCCACTGGCCTAGGTCTGGGAGCTAAAGGCCTCTTGCATAGGAAGTCTGCCGGCCCGTGCTTCCTCACGTGGAAGCTGGTGGCAACAGTACTCATCTTGCCTTCCTCCCTTGCAGGGAAACACTGAGGCTGTAGCGAAATGCCGGAGGGGAGGGCTAAGGCAGGAGGACTTTGGGTGGCCGCTGGGGTCCCCGTGAGGAGTAAAGAGAGGCCAAAGGGAGGACAGCAGCCATGCAGACTCTTTTTCCTGAAAGGTACTGAAAAACGTAAAGAGTGAAAGACAGGCTATTCAGTTACTGTCTTTAATAGACGGCAAGAAAATGAGAGAGTTGTTAACTATGTTAACCTAGGCTGGGCTTTCAAAATATAAAACCAGGCTGAGGCAGAAGGATCGCTTGAAGCCAAGCGTTTAACGCCAGCCCAGGCAACATAATGAAACCCTGTCTTTCTAAAAGAACTAAAAAATCAGCCAGCTGTGGTACTGTGTACCTGTAGGCCCAGCTACTTGGGCAGCGGAAGCACAAGGATCGCCTGGGCCGAGGAGGTGGAGGCTGTAGTAAGCTGGGAGTGTGCCACTGTACTTCAGCCTGGGTGACAGCGAGACTCCCGATTCAAATAAAACCCAAAATCCCCAAATATAAAACCACTACTAATGACAGCTCAATAAAATCCTATAATAATACAGGGCATGAAATTCTGGAGAGCTATACTGTATAGCCGAAGAAAATATTCTAGTTGAAATTTAGACAGTTTCCTTGGCCTGCCTTCATAGGGCAGAGCAAGCTGTCTTTCCATCCATGGTTTTGGGAGCTGAAAGTCTGGCCCGCTGGTTGCTGGAAGTTCCATGTCAAAAGCAGATCACTAGTGACAGAAAATGAGACAAGCTGGCCAACTGGGAAGGCAGCTCTTCCAAGAGAGAGTGGAGAGCGCTGCCAAGGAAGGTGGGGCCTGGGAAGGGGGCCCGAGCCACCGTGCCCTGCACCTCCTGCACCGGTTCGGTGGATCCCTGGGTGGGCTGCTGGCCTGAAGGGGCCTCACCCCGGAGCTGGTTTTGCTTTGCCCCAGCCCCAGGAACGAATAGAAAGGTGTTAGAGATCTAAGCTCTGCAGTTGTGAGTTTCCCCAGCGCAAGCCAGCATCCTGAGAAGCATTTGCTGCTGAGTCACTCACCTGCTGGGAACTCCAGGCAGTAGCCCCCCATGGGCGGTCGGAACTGCTTCACCAGAACGATGCACTCATAATGAAGAGTCCTCTGCAGCACCGGGATGACCGCCACACCTGTCACCAGGAACGGAAACCCGGGAAAGCCCTCATGAAAGGTCAGTAATGGCAGCAGTGTGTTTAGAGCAAGCTAAAGGAAGCCCCAGATTTCATGAAATGCCACATCCAAGATCTACCCTGTATTCGCCATCAGCAAGAAGTTGTTAATAATGCTGGCAATTAACCTTGGATTGGAAGCTATTCTCACTTTAAAATGTAATTAAAAAGTCAAAACTAAAAGGAAACATTTCATACAGGGTCAAGGACAGAGTTTCCGTCTACACTAACCTTTACATAGAAGCACTTTTCGCCAGACAGCAGCTAGACTGTTAGCCCAGTGACAGTGATTTATGTGCTCTTGAGTTTCCCTTAAGCAATAAATAAGTTCCGTTGTTTGTAGTATGTGCTAGCTACACTGACTTCTACTGTTTTATTTTGATCAAAGCAAAACCAAGACCCGACTGGGTTCTGCAAAAAGTCCACCCAGGAGGAGCATGTGGCTACTCTTAAAAGCTTCTCTAGCAGTTTAGACCAGTTTGCTTTCAGGAAAAACAGAAAACAAAGTGGAAAGTCAAGAAAGACCTATTGCCCTGCTTCCCCTGGCCCAGAGGGAGATTCAGGACCGTTTCTGGGCTCTTGTGGCCAAAGCCTCATGTCTGGAGGTAGCGTGGATGGAGTGAACAGTCTCCTAGGCCCATTTCCTCACCGACTTGGAAAGCAAGTGGCCGGTGAACATCAGGGCACAGCAAGTAATTTTCCAGGCTAAAGGCTTCACCTAGATCCTCTGAACAGAACACACAGTGTTTCTGGAAGTCAACACATCTAGACACAGCACGTGGCTTCAGATTACACTGATTGATGTTTAGCTATAAACATTAGTACATCTTCCCCTCAATAGTACTTCCTCAGCTTAGATAACAGGAGCCAGAATTATTTGCAGAGAAAGCTTGATTTAGTTACATCCCACTGCAAAAACTGTAGGAGGTTTAAAGGTAAAAGCTCATAATTGAAGATATCTCTGCTCTGAGGTCTTGGTTGCACCGAAAACCCTCCTCTGATCACGTGTGCTAACGCCCTTTCTAGGCAGTTATAAGAGCTTTGCAACTCATACCATCGGCACTCTGTCCCTTCCTGGTTGCACGTTTCACTGATTCCCACGTTCTGTTGAGGGAGAGAAGAAAGTCATTAGCACCAAAGGAATTTTCTTAGGTTTTCTGTGTGCAGCCAGAATGTCTCAATGCGGTGCATGCAAAGGTAGTAATGGTGCTGGCCAAGAAGACGACAGCAGTCAAGATCTGTGTCAGGGAAGCCAACTGCTTCTTAGAACTAGTGGTGAAAACTGCTGCCCCCCACACCTGGACCCCATTGCGGCAGAAAGCCTGCTGGGTACCTGAACAGCCACCTTCCCAAACCCCTTTAGCTGGACCCACAAACCCACGGCAGGCAGCACAGCCGGTGACTCTTAGCAGATGATGCGCACCAAGTCCCGGAAACGGCCAGCCGTGTCGACGGACATGAGAACTGTGCGGTGTGAGCTACTGAGGCAGTCACTGATAGGGTTTTCACTTTTATTTTATTGATTGATTGATTGATTGATTTGAGTTGGGAGTCCCACTCCGTTGCCCAGACTAGAGTGCAGTGGCCGCTCCCGGCCACCGCAGCCTTGACTCGCTGGGCTCCAGTGAAACTTCTGCCTCAGCCTTCCAAGCAGCTGGAACTACAGGCGCGCGCTACCACGCCTGGCTAATTTTTTTGATTTAATGTAGAAGTGAGGTCTTGCCAAGTTGCCCAGGCTGGTCTCAAACCCGTGGGCTCAGGCAATCCACTTGCCTCAGCCTCCCAAAGTGCTGCAATTACAGGCTGAGCCACCAAGCCTGGCCAGAGTTTTGATTTTTAAAATGTGTCACCTAAAACACAATTCGAGAAAGTAGAACCCTCCTACTGAGTCATCGAGGGGTTATTAAATACAGGTAAGTGCTCTACTTCGCATGCGTGAGATCTTATCTAAGGTGGAAAATGGTCCCCGGATGAAAAAGAGGTGACAAACAGCAACTTCCACCTCCCTTTTCCAGCCTTAGTCCTGGTTAGCTACTTGTTTCTGTTACCTAGTTCAGCTTTTGGTAACATCTGGGCTATTTCACTTCCTCTTCAGGGAATACTAGGCAGAGCTGAGAGGAAAGTTCCCTCTTGCCAACAGTAAAAAGCAGTGGTGGGAAGAGAGGGAGGAGCAGCCAAGAACTCCAGGAGCTCTCCTGAAGGAAGGCTTGGGGTGGGGAGATCTGGGGACAGGGATGAGACACAGGCGCCTCGGCCTCCCCATGAGAAAGCATTCTAAGACGTGCAGCTCTGAGGCGCCCTCTTGCTCCTACTTCTTACGTGGTTCTCCCTAAAATTTGGACCCTGCCATATTTCTATACAAAAATTTCTGATGTCCAATCTGGCTAAAAACAACAACAACAAAAACCTGCCTATAAATTATAGATCTTTCAGCATTGCACCCAAATTCTAGAAGACAAATATGTCCAAATGCCCCTGGGGAACTCAAACAAATCGCCATGACACCAGCCCAGCATTCCTGTTAGTAGCAAAAAGCCAACCAACAAGCAAGGCTGACAAGTCAGTAACACAGACTCAAGGGACGCAACACCTTTTGGCCCAGCTCTCTCTGCTGCCTCTCAAGGTTAGTCCTAAAGACTGAAGAAGGCAGTGCCGGGAAGAGCACCGCAGGTCCCATCCCAAATACACTAGGAACAAGGAAAACAAGAGAGCAGCGTCATTATGTGGTCCAGGTGAAGGAAACACGCAGTTACAAGCCATAGATACCGAGCAGCAAAATAGAATGAGAACGCCACACGAGAGCTCCGGCCATCTTACAGGGATGCTGAGATGTATAGCAGACCTGCAGTCAGAGAACCTTGGTCTCTGCTGGCCTGTGAGTCAAATAAGTCCCAAGTCCCAGCCTCCTGGAGACTGTTTTCTCCTCCTTCAAGCTCAGGAATGAGTTCGTCAACTCCAGAACCTCTTTGAGCTGTAGAGCTGTGATTCGAGCTAAATCACCCCCTACTTAGTCTCCTTTATTCCGGGAAAGTCTGTTTTCCTTCTTCCCTCTGGCCCACCAACACAAGAGGCAGAAGGGGGAACCAAGGATGACTTCAGCACTATCCTGAATGTCAGTAGGGAAATTCACTGCCAGCACATTTGCATACTTCTAAGACTAATTCCACTTCCTCTTTCCTGAGTTCTCCAGCTGCTGTCTTCTCTCTCACACTCGGCCCTCCATATCTGTGGGTTCTGCATCCAGGGGCTCAACCAACTGGCAGATCAAAAATATTCCGGAAAAAAACTGCACCTGTACTGGACAGGTACTTCCTTGTCATTCCCTTAGCAATACAGAATGACAACGATTTGCACAGCATTCGCCTTGTACTGGATGGTATAAGGAATCTGGAGATGATTCAAAGTGTACAGAAGGACGTGAGCAGTTATGTGCAAACGTCACAGCATTTCCTATCAGAGACTTACACATCCTGGACTTCGGGATCTATGGGGGAGTCCTGGAGCCAATCCCCCCAAACACTAAGGGGCCTAAGTTTTTCTAGCCTATAGGCTGGGGACCAGAAGTGTTTTAGATGTGGAATATCTCATTCCCCTGTGAATATCTGCAGACCTTCCGACACTTTCAGCATCTTCACATCACCAAGAAGAGAATAAGCAAAAAACTAGTGATCGTGTACATAGTTCTGGGACCCACATGGGCATGGTGGGAACCTGCACACATGCCATTTTATTTCCCTCTGTTGGTGTGCTTTTCTGGGGGAAGCTGTGTGCACGTGGAAAGGACGTATCCGAGCTGAGGGGGCTGGAGGGTCTTTTATTTCCTTGTGGATGCTGAATACACTGTGCTGTGCACCTATGTTTTGACAGTGACCATCACACGAGGTCAGATGGGGAATTTTCCGCATGTGGCGTCACGCTAGCACTGAAAGATGTGGATTTGGGAGTATCTAGAATTTTTGGATTCTCAGACCAGGGACACTCAGCCTGTGTATACATGCTTCTCTATCAGGTATTGGAGAACACATCTTATAAATGTACAAATCGTGACATCCTGGAAAGTACAGAGATTCAGTCTTCAAAGCCTGACACTCTGGTATAAAATACAAGTGCTTTACATAAGGCTCTCTAGAGGCCAGAAGGAAGACCTACACACTCAAGAAAGATGAAAACATGCCCTAACAGGCTGTGTAATGGGGCACTTTGGTAGAGATTTTAGAGCCCACTCCCAAATGACTGAGCAGGCTCTCTGGAAGTAAGACCTAGACAGGAGTGTTTTGAAACAAAAACAAAAACAAAAAACCCAAATGATTCTAATGCACATCCCTGATTAAGAAATGCTAAGGGAAGGGGGTGGGGTGGGAAAAAAATTAAAAAATAAATGCTAAAAGAGGTCCAGGTGGGTGGCTTGTGCCTATAATCCCAGCACTTTGGGAGGCTGAGGCAGGAGGATGGCTTGAGGCCAGGAGTTCAAGACCAGCCTGGGTCACATAGTATCCAGATTATATGAAATAAATTCTAGATACCTTGTCTCTACAGAAAAATCAAAAGATTAGCTGAGTGTGGTGGCACACACCTGTAGTCCCAGTTACTCAGCTGGCTGAGCCCAGGAAGTTAAGGCTGCAACGGGCCATGATCGTGCCACTGCACTCTAACCTGGACAACAGAGTGAGACCCTGATTCAAAAAAAAAAAAAAAGACTAGTGAGGTGAATAGATGAGCTGGTGCAAGTAAGCTCAAGTTCTTTAGGCTAACTGATGTTAAAGACTGTCTTTTGTTATAAACCTCATTTTATAGGGAAAAGAACCAAACAATATCACTATAAAGTGGGTTCTAATCTCTATACTTTCACAAATACCTGTGAACATACTGTGCTCCCTAAGGCTTGAGCCTTGCCACCTTTCTGTTGGGTTTGGCCCCTTTCTTTCCCTTACTTACTTCATATTTGGTTATACATCTCAAATTTACTGGATTTTGCATCGAGGTCATCTCACTCTGTCATCCAGGGTGAAGTGCAGTGGCATCACCATGGCTCACTGCAATCTCCTGGGCTCGGGTGATCCTTCCGCCTCAGCCACCTGAGTAGCTGGGACTACAGACACACACCAAGCCTGACTAATTAGATGCAATCAAAAAAGCTGTCTGGATCATTAGCAAGTCTATGTACCTTAATGGAAGATGTATTTCCTCACAAAGAAGCCACGTATGATGATTCGATCACTTGGCAAATGAAGTATTTATTTATCTGAGTCAGGATCTCACTCTGTTGTCTGGAGTGTAATGGCACAACCACGGCTCACTGTAGCCTTGACTTCCTGGGCTCAGGCGATTTTTCTATTTCTACCTCAGCCTTTGGAGTAGCAGAGATTACAGGCACGTCCACCACATTCAGCTAACATTTTGATTTTTTGTGGAGATGAGGTCTTGCTATGTTGCTTAGGCTGGTCTTAAGCAATCCTCCTACCTCGGCCTCTCACAGTGCTAAGATTACGGGTACGAGCCACCATGCCCAGCCAAAGTTTTTATATCAATGAGTTTGTATCATGTAATGTGGATACTAAATTTAGTTTGTTTTCATATTTGCTCATTCTGTTGTATTCCTTTTATATTTCATTAATATTTAATCTATTGTATCACATTGTTCTTTTCTTGTAGTTTATAATATCAAAAGATTACCAGACAGAAAAGTTGGAAAATAGAAGAAAAAAGGTTAATAACATAGCTTCTTTCTCCTTTTTTTTTTTGCTATAGTTTTTCTTCCAGCCTTTTATTACACATTATTTGGCAGAGTTTAGAAAGTATATATATAAAAATATAAAATTTTCTATTTTGTTATCGACTTACTAACGTTCCCCACATTGTTGGGTTGTCTTCATGATCTACTTTTTTCAGATGGCTGCACAATCTCACCGAGTGAGGACACCAACAGTCAGGGAGAGTGGTGTTCACGTAGATTCCAGGTTAGTTACTGTAGCGAATATATAACCCCTTTTATTCAGAGATTATAAATGATCTAAACATCCTCACAATGGAAAAACAGCCAAATTAGATTCTTTATTTAAAATAGAGTACAAAGAGGAAAACATCTAAGTATATGCCAAACACTCAACAAAGACCCTGAGAACCCAAGTACTAAACATTCCATAAGAGGAAAAAAATAGTTTACCTCGTTTTACCAGTGGGATCCATGTATGTTGTTTTTTCCAGCTTGACCCATTTTCCTTCTGCAATTAACTTAAAGGAGATCAGATAATAAGTTGGGAAACCTTCAAGTCAAATTTTTTATTTATTTTATTTTTGAGTTGGAAGTCTCACTCCGTTGTCGAGGCTGGAGTGTAGTGGCATGCTCACGGCCATCCCAGCGTCGACCTGCTAGGCTCAGGTGATCCTTCTGCCTCAGCCTTCCAAGTAGCTGTAACTACAGGCACGTGCTACCACACCTGGATAATTTTTTGATTTATTGTACAGATGAGGTCTGGCCAAGGTGCCCAGGCTGTTCTTGAACCTGTGGGCTCAGGCAGTCCCCCTCACCTTGGCCTCTCAAAGTGCTAGGATTACAGGCTTGAGCCACCATGTCTGGCCCAAATTTTTTAAAATATAAAAGCTTTTTTTTTTCTTTCAAATGTCCTCTATGCGCTCTTTCCCAAAATAATCATATTTTCTTCCCAATAATTTGTAGGCAAGTTTTTAGTTCAGAAAGGAGTATTCCAAATTATTTTTCTAACTCATAGTTCTGCTGCTTCTTGGAGTTTCTGAGGTAAGACTAGGAAGTGAAAAGAAATGAGTAAAAACTCTTGAGGGCAGGGAAGTAGGGGCAGCTGGAAGGGAACACCAGGGGTGAGGGGCCTTCTGGGACGCTCCTGGTGTTCTGTCTCCTGATCTGAGTGCTAGCCACATAAGTGTGTTTAGTATATAAAATCCACACTGGTATTTTACTGCCAGTGACTCCACAGGAAAGCTCATTGTGGAGAAATCAGGCCAATGGCTGGACTTCCCATTAGGCCATATGGGCTTCCCACCCAGCCTGAGACAGGCACCCAGGACCATCCTGCCTAGATACTGAGGAGTCCTATGGTGAGGACTGACCGTGGCGCCACACTGAGCCAAGAGGGAGGCTGCCTGGCGGACATGCTGCATGGCAGACACACCGCGGCAGCCTGTGCCTACTAGCCTGCCCTTCCCCATTTCGCAACAGCAACCCCATGGTTCCCAGCAGATCTGCTCACAGACAACATGGGAAGGGTTTAAGTCAAAAATAAATCCAGAAAGGGACTTCACCACTTGGATTCAGGATTGGAGTTCCAAGAGGAAGGATTTAAAATTAACGCAGTACTGGTTCCTGCAAGAAGAGACTTTCAAGCTAAATGGGATATCCTACAACCCTGGCTCTAGAACTTGCTGGAATTTAGACTGCAACTAACAAGCAGGGTTTTTACTGTTCTTAAACTATACATTGGGACCATAAACAGGTAAGATATGATAACTAAGTATGAAATATCTAAGCCCTAAAATCCACATATTGTTTATTCTTCTACCCAGGGAAACTTAATAAGGATGAAGAATTTTTTGGTTAAAGCCAAAATTCGAATTAGGGTCTCAATGTCACTAACACATAGGACACAGACACGACGCCTGCTCCCACTCAGAGATGGGCCGAGAAGGGGCGGGGAAGACTCTTTAGAAAACCATCTTCAAGAATGACAATCATCTGAAATGGCCAACAGCCTCTACATTTCTTTTAAATTCAGGTGTTTGTGGGGAGCAGAAAGGCAAGTGAAAAACAAGTCATACCTCCTCTGAAATAACGCACTGCTTGGCACCCTGAGAGGAATCCACCGGTTCTTGGGTCTCCATTTTCAGACTAATTAGACTTTACAGTCCTCAGGCGAGATGTTCCTGCTGCAAGATAATGAGATTCATTTAGACTAAAACTTTTTCCTAAATATCTGGGGACGTTTCCACAGAGGAAGTCAGTGCGAAGTTGCTGCCGAAGTTGCTGCTGAAGCCCTGGGGAGCATCCGGGAAAGAACGTGCCAGCCAGCCACATCATCCGAGTTTCTGAGTGCACAGACAGGCACTCACAGACATTTCTAATCAGATTTTCTGACCCTCAAATCTTAGTCTTTCCAAGGGAAAACAATAGAGAGATGATATGCCACTCTCCATAGCCACCTTTTCAACTTTTTTTCCTTTGAGTCGCAGTCTCACTCTGTTGCCCAGGCTGGAGTGCAGTGGCACGCCTACAGCTCACCACAGCCTCCACTTCTGGGACTAAACGTGTGCACCACCACACTCGGCAAATGTAGACGAGGGCCTACTATGTTGTGCAGGCTGGTCTCATACTCCTGGGCTCAAGTAGCCATCTTACCTCAGCCTCCCAAAGTGCTGGGATTTAGGCGTGAGCCACAGGGCCTGGCCTGGAGCCAAACTGGTCAGGAGCTGCCCATGCTGAGATTCCTGCCTCCCACTTACCCACCCCAAACATTTTGGATTTTATGTTTTTCCTGTTCCCTGGCATGCAGCTAATCCTTTTTATTCATAAAAACTTTTATTTTAAAGTTAGAGTCTTCCTCTGTGGCCCAGGCTGGAGTGCACTGGCATGTTCATAACTCCCTGAGTTCAGGCAATCCTTCTGCCTCAGCTTCCCCAGTAGCTGGAACTATAGATACGTGCCACCACACCCAACTAATTTTTTTTTTTTGTAGAGACACAGCCTCGCCGTGTTGCCCAGGCTGGTCTTGAACTCCTAGGCTCAAGCAGTTCTCCTACCTCAGCCTCCCAAAGTGCCAGGATTACAGGCATAAGCCAGTGAGCCTGGCCACTAATCTAGAACAGTGGTAAATGAACTGTTTTAATTACCTTTCAGTGTATAGTTCAGGGACATTAAATACACTCACACTGTTGTGCCCTATTTACTTTACTCTTGAATTCAAGCAATCCCCCTGCCTCAGCCTCCTGAATAGTTGGGACTACAGGTGTGTGCCACCATACCCGCTAATTTTTTGAGTTTTTTGTAGAGATGAGGTCTCCCTCTGTTGCCTAGGCTGGTCTCGAACTCCTAGGCTCAAGCGATCCTCCCTCATCCTCTCGAGTAACTGGAACTACCACCACGCCAGCTCCCCATTTCCTTTCAAGTTTCCACGTGCATCAACGTCATAGATGCACAAAAAGCGTCGCCTGATACTAGGAGGTCTGACATGGAAAGACCAGGCCCTTATCCCTTCTGTTACCAACCACTGCTTCCTCTTTCTTGGTTTATGCCTTTATTTTTGGAATCTACCTGTCTGAATATCTTTTTCTTCCCACATAGCTGATTGGCAACGTGGCCATATGTAGAATGACAGGCCAAGAACAATGAGCTCCAGAGTCAGAGGCTTTGCTTCCGAAGTTGCTGCTGAAAAGCCTGGAGCTACCGTGAGTCTTGGTTGCTTTCCATGTGACCTGTTTTCCTTCTCTGGAAGCTTGCAGTCATGTCCTGCTGTCCTGGGCATTCAAGTAGGTCCTTTCAATCTGTAAGCTTTACATTATGTTTCCTTTCTTGAATTACTTCACTGATAATCCCCACCCCATTTTTCCTGTTCTCTTTTCAGAACAGTTATTAACTGCTGGGCCTCCTGAATTGATACTCTGTCTTATCCTTTTGATTCCTAATGTCTACTTCCTTGTTATATTATCTACATTTCTCAATGACTACTCGAACCCTTCACTACTCTTAAGTTCCATGGTTCCCTATCCTATCCTACTTCCTAACTTTAGTTTCAGAGGAAATACAGACCATCAAACACCACCTCTCACCAGCTGTTTTAGAGGAAAAAGCTCTTTGCTGTGTTTCTTCTGGACTCAGAGTGATAATTATACCATTTCTCAAATCTTCCATTTTTACCCCAGACAGCAAGTTTTTCTGAAACCAATCAACAACAAAGCAAACTATTAATATTTACAAAGTGTCTTAAAAATCAAATATGTGATTGACTATCTTGAGTAACCTGACGAAACACCTGGTGGAAGATCCATTACAGGGGCGACACTGTGCTAGGAAAGTGGCAGTGGGCAGGTTACAGGCCACGCCTCCATCTCAAAAGTGAGGAAATATACACCATTTATGTCACATAAAGTTTTATGGAGCAAGATGAAGAAGGATAAGAAGAGTGGGAAGGTGGGATGGACTATCACCTATCAGCTGCAGTGTGCACAGGTAGGGGTGGTGGGTACTTCAAACCCAGTACAATGTATTTGCCATTGTACAGTGCATCCATGTAACCAAAAACTATCTGTTCCCCCTAAAACTACTGAAATAAAATAAAATTTAAAAAAAGATCAGGGAAGAGGTGTACAAGGTAGCAATTTATATGGAGTGATGGGGAAGCCCTCTTTAATTTGGGGACATTTGAACAGAGATCTGAAAGTAGTAAGGAAACCACGGAGACATTTAAATATTTAGTCAATTAGCATATTCGAACCCAGAGCCCTACCGGGAAAATAGGCAGTCATTCCTCTGAAGGCATCCTGGATGCTAATTGATCAGGGCAGCCTCTACTGGCATTGGTTGAGACTAAAAGTTCACATTTTCCAAGTAACCACAGTAGTACACGGATCAGATGAAAACCAAAGGTGGAGAACGACTTGCTAGCTGACTCCACTTGCATGCCTCCACCCAGGAAAAGGGACTTTACCACCTAGATTCTTCTCTTCCAGATACCTATTCCCTTCTATTGGTAACATAACATCAGAAAAGGCAACTTTCCTTTGCTTTCAATTCTAACACTTAAAAGAGAAAATAGCTCTTAAGTAATACACAGCTGCATTTAATGCACACAATAATCTGTCTAGAATGGCACAAAATGCTTGTATGATGTTAAGTTTCTACCTATTTAGTTTTTGGTTTTTTTTTTTTTTTTTTTTTTTTTAGTTGGAGCCTCACTGTCACCCAGGCTGGAGTGCCTGCCGTGGCACACTCATGGCCACCACAGCCTCGACCTGCTGGACTCGGGCGATCCTTCGGCCTCTGCCTTCCAAGTAGCTGGAACTATAGGTCCACGACACCAGGCCCAGCTGAATTTTTAAAAATTCATTGTAGAGACAAGGTCTCACCAAGTTGCCTAGGCTCGCCCCACACGCCTGGGCTCAGGCAATCCTCTTACCTCTGCCTCCCAAAGTGCTGGGATTACAGGCATGAGCCACAGCGCCCAGCTCTGCCTCCATTTTTAACAATGACACTCCAACCTATAACTTTTCTGTGCAGGGAACTTCTGAAAAGTGAACTTCTGAAAAGCAGGGAACTATGGTCCTCGAAAGCATAAACACCACCAGAAGACACTGAAGGAGGGCCAGGTGACCTCCTCCTTCCTCTCTGAAAAGGGTTCTTAACCTGAAGTCCCAGAAATCCCAGACAAAAAGGTCAGCAGCCCACAACAGCATAGCAGGGTGGTCCTCCACACCTCCATGTGAGTATCTATAGGGGAAAGGGGCAACCAGACTGACATAAAACCTTAAGACACTTATGGTATCGGCCAGGTCCGCTTGTGAACATATCTTTATAGTTTCTCTCGGATTCTCAAGGGATCACTGGCTGCCAAATGGCGCGAGGGCTCCAGGACTCCAGGTCAGCTCCTCTTCATCCAGCGGAGTTAGTTAAACTCAGTGACAAACAGCCCCAGCTCCATGGGAAGACCAACCCTCAGGCAGCACACCAAGCTATAAAACAGACTTAAGAAATATGTAGCTAGAATGTTAGAGACCTGGGAAGCCAGACATGAATTACAGGGAAAAGGGCATAAGTAATTCTTCAGAATGCGATCAGCCCAAAGGCAAAGTATTCTCCAGCAATCCATGAACGGTGTAGACAAAAACAAGTGATCAGAGTGACTGCAGAAGCATATTCTTTACTAGGAGATTTCCACATGTTTCAGGAAGATTATAGAAACACCCCAGAAATAGTACAGAAACTGAAAAGGAGTCGTATTTTTAGCACCATCTTAAAAACAGAAGCCACATGGTGCATTTGGGGCTTGTTGCTGCAAGCAGCATGCTGCAGAAAGCGCACGAGGCTGCGTTCCACACTTCCCACTCTGCCGTCTCTACCACCAGGACGGAGTTTTCCCAAACGAACTCAGTGCCGTTTCAAGATCTAAAAGCAAAGTTTAAGTGTATCCACTTCAGTATCTGGGATTTAAGGTCTACATATTGCCAGAATGTGCACATTATTAAAACCACGTGCGTGGTTTCATTTACAACTGTTCTTAGGTCTTCAAGTCAAAAACGGTTTTAGGCTCTGGTTTAGTTTGAACACTGAAGGTCTGCGATGTGTCAGCTGTGTACTTTCCCACGGCAAATGCTGCAAGATTCTTAGATGTCTTGTACAGCGCATGCAAGGTCTGGAAGTCACTTTGTGAGCGCGGGCACTGAAGTGCCTGCATATATATGCTCAGTGCAACACGAGCAGATTCCTGCCCTGGAGCCCCTTACAGCCCAGCAAGCAAATCAGACTGATGAAAGCCCACCACAGAGATGACACACTGCCAGGGCGTTTTAAAGGAAGGACAAGTCACACCAAGAAGGCAGGGAAACCCTTCCAGCTAGAAGACACCACATGAGCAAAGGCAGAGGCAGTAACTGGGGCAAGATTGAGAAATTCTGAGTCTGGCAAGCTCTGTGGTCCTCAGCCTTCCCCTCTCGCCCCCAAGCCCCACACTTAAGAAAAAAACCCCACATATAAGGAATGATGTCAACATTTGCAAACTCTTTTCTAAGGGCATACAGAGTTTGGGCTGGATTCCTTCCCCTCCCCCAAATTTGCAGGCAAAGCACACAACCCTAACTGGCATGCCAGATTCCTGTTGCTATATAAACTAGTTTTGGGAACTGGGCGCCAGGATATGTGCCTGTAGTCCCAGCTACTGGAAAGACTGAGGCAGGAGGATCCCTTGAATTCCAGAGTTCTCTGGCACTCGAGACCAGCCTGGGCAAACACAGCAAGACTTTGTCTCAATAAACATCCCCAAACAAGCTATTACAACTTTCCACTGAAAGGAAGAGAAATGATTAATTTTTCACAAACTGAGGTAGAGTTAGATGGGAGTCAAGATCCAAGAAGCTAAACTGAGAACTCACAAGCCAGGTTGTGGAGTTTGCACTCAGGCACATTATTGAGTTATTTCCATACCTGTATCCCTGCAGTCTGTTGAGGCTGCAAAGTGAAGCAAAAAATCATAACAAAAGCGATATGTTGGCTAGCTAGTCTCTCCCTGATAAAAGATGAGGATTGCAAATACCAGTAATCCTCAACCAAATAAAAGATGCCAGAGCGCACATCATAAGCAGAGCTGCCAAATCAACAAGGCACTTAGAAAGAAATTAAGCGGAAAGATCAATGTTTTGCAGAAATAACTTTATGATTGTTGGTAAAGGCAAGCGTCAAAGTAAATGCCATTCTACATCCTGGCAGTCACTTGATTTATAAGGAACAAAGATCAAATAATTTGTCTAGTTATCTTTAATAGGCTTGGTTATAATCATAAAAATTAATCATAAAACTTTTTTATTTTTGAAAGGTGACTGTTTGGATGAATCTTTTTGTACCATTTATGGTAAAATTTTGGTGGATTCACCAGAGTGGTCTCTTCTTTGCTGATAATTATCCTCAGATAAAGAAGTCTTCCTTGTGCCTCATTTGGTAATGATGGAAAGCTGCTGAGAGTTTTGGTGGGTTTTTTTCTTTTAATGTTTTTCTGGTAGGTACAGGCACTGGGTGGGAAAGGAAGGAATGAACACTTACTGAGATCATGCTACTTGGAGACTTACAGTAATCATTTACCAGGTGGTTTATAACCACCACATTTAATTCTGGCTGAGCAAGAGTGAGCGCACTGTAATGACCCTTGGGAAGGTTAATTGGTTACAGCCATAATGAGTTCATAAAGAACCTCTTATAATAGTCTAGGTAAGAGATAACACAGCTGGAGGCCAGTGGCAGCCATGGCAAGGAAAAAATTAATTCCTTGCAGATGAGAGTTTATTACCTGTCCTAAAACAGTTTCTAGGGAAGGAGTCAATCCAAGCTAATTCCAAGAAGATGGTTTTCAAGGCGACTGGGGCATCAGAAGGAGAATGACACAGTGCCCAAATCTGTACACACTGCGCTCGGGGCATTGGCAAGACATCCAAGTGGAGTCAGCGAGCCGATGGGTGGAAGTGTTCACTTGGAAGGATCAGTCATGCCATGGATTCAGACAAGGGAGTGGCTTTTTCATTATTAGGAATTGCGCAATAACTCCCATCCCCCACAATCACTTGCCTGCTAACACTGTTCAGCAAGCCTGAGAAAAGCAACTATCTCCACTGCTGTAAACATTGTATTGAGGAAACTTGATGAATATAAACACTTCCTGGCTACACAAAGGGAAGCATGGTGGTTAAAACACAGTGAAAGCTAATTTAGTTGTTTCCATTCAAAACACTTGAGCATTTCCTGTTTCTAATGTCAATTTATTATTTGCTGCTGGTTAAATGGGTAACAAGTTAATTAAAACCAACCATGAGTAATACTAATAAGTCTTGGAACACACTTCTAAAGTAGCCTGAGAAGAAGACACACCAATTCCTGTCTAAGTTTACAAACTTAGCTTCTTCTCTACAGATAACTGCAGTTCTGTGTTAAAGCTCTAAGCCTGCCTCGGTTTCACAGGATTTCTGGGATGCTAACAGTATCACCACTCCAGGAAGGACTGTATTCCCAGGATCTGTTTCTCCCATGCCTTTGTTAATTCCATCTTCAACAGAAAACATCCCCATCAGGACTGACATTTCCTTCAGCGGCAACTTTTTTATTTTTAGGCCAAATCAAAACAAGTATTTGAGTGACTTCTGGTGTCTGCCATTAAGTCGCTCTCAGGTTTGTAAGGCTGGAACCACTCTCCAACACGTGTGGAATATCGCCGCTTCTTTCCCTCAGAACAGAAAGGACAGCAAAATCCCAGATCTCAGAAACACATACTTACAAAAGGGCTACTACTCCAGCACGCCCACGGACATACACTGCAATATCACTATCTACCCTCTGCTTTGAAAATGTATCCTTTAAAGCAATGTTTCCAACTAACCACTTAGCCCGTAACATTTCTGAGAAAAAACAAAACAAAACCAAAACAATCTCTATTCCCGGGAGGAAGAGTTTCTAACGAATAATATGCAGAGGATTCTGTTTACTATCCTAACGAACACGTATAATTTCTTAAGAGGCCTGCAGTCAGTGGAGTTACCTCTTCTAATTTAAAACTGCTTAGGTGAGCCAGGCGCGGTGGCGCCCGCCTGTCATAGCCTAGCATTTTGGGAGGCCGAGGAGGGGAGGGAGGATTGCCTGAGCCCAGGAGCTCGAGACCGGCCTGGGTACCATGGCGATCCCTACACTAAATCAAAAAATTCAGCCGGGCGTGGGGGCGCGCGCCTGTAGTCCCTGCTAGCTGAAAGGCTGAGGCGGAAGGATCGCCTGAGCCGGGGAGGTCGAGGCTGCGGTGGCGGGGATCGTGCCACTGCGCTCCAGCCTGGGCGACAGAGTGAGACAAGCAAAAACCGCTTAGAGGACCGGCAAGGATGCCCAAGCTAAGGAGACATCCAAAACGCGCGCCTTTGGACGCGAGCGCCCGAACGAGCCCGAGGCGTGTGATGGGGAGAAACACCGCGAGGTGTCACGGGCGCTTCTCAGCAGCTAGCGACCTCCCGTTCTTGTTAAAGAAATAAGCAAAACTGAACCCGACAGGGTGACAGGAGGGAAGAAAAGGAAAAGGGAACGCTGCGATTTCGACTCGGACCCTTCCAGCCTTGGATCCCATCACGGCAGGCTACGAACGCGGCCGGGCTTCTCGGGGCGGGTCACCCTCGCGGGGCCGGACTCGATGAACCTGACGCCCAGAGACGGGCCCCCCCTTCCCTCCGCTGTCTCCAGCTGGCCTCTCCTCCCCGAGCCCCGAAGTCGACCGGCCCCGGGAGCGGCCAGGTGAGCTTCGACCCGCGGGGTCTCACCGCGGATGAAGCGCTCGCCTCCTCTGCAGACCCCTCGACCCCCACGCCCAGACGAGCACTTCACCAGCGCCCCCCGCTCTCTTCCCTCGCGGGGGCCGGGGCTCCCCCACCCCACGCCCGGGTTTCCCCCTCGCGCCCCGGGACGCGACCCCAGCCGCGGACCCGGAGCCACGCGCGCGGCGGCACGCGCCCTCCAGACGCGCCCCCTCCCCTCCCCAGAGGGACCTCGCGCGGCGACCGGCCCGCGCCCAGCTACTCACTCCAAGGCGCGGGGGTGAAGGAGGGAGGAGGGACGCGAGGAGAAAGCACGAGCCCGAGGCAGCAGCCTCAGCCGACGCGGTTCCAGGGCTGGCGACACCGGCGCCTCTCGCCGTGCCGCAAGTACGCGCGCGCGTACTCCTCCCGGCACCCGTAGGAGCCCCGCCTCTGACCCACCTTTAGCAGATTACCTTCCGGGTCAGTGTGCGTCCCGCGCGAAAGCGGAGTCGAAAACTTCTTTAGATTCCTTTCTCGACGCCTCCGCCATCCCTCTCTGGGGACGAGGGGTCTTTTCGCGTGCGTGCGTGCCAGGAGTGCGCCCCAGGATTCTCCTTCTCGCGTCCTCGCGTCCTCCTTACTTCACGGACCGGAAGAGTCCTTGAACCAAAATAGCTCGACGGGCACTTCCGGGACCGGAGCCCGGGGTTCCGGGAGAGCGCTGGCCGCAGAGGGAAGGGCAGCCGCGGCCGCAGCTGGAGGATGAAGAAGGAGCATGTGCTGCACTGTCAGTTCTCCGCGTGGTACCCGCTCTTCCGAAGCCTTACCATCAAGAGGTAGGGTGCGAGGGGCCACGCCGGACCGGCCGGCGAGCGGGAACCGCGACGTTTGGGCGAAATCTGTCCCTAGCCAAAACAGGCAGGCCTTGTAGCGACTGGAGGGGAGCGACAGCGTTGAGATGTCGACTTCCTAGTGATATTTGGGGTGGGCGATTCAGGGTGCAGATCAGCAGTTGCAGCGTGCCCTGTTGCGAGCCCGGGGGTGTGCTGGGGGGGGGTAGCGGGGAGGGCGGGTCGTGGTTCTTTGAGGGTCAGAGGAGGGGTAGATAAGGGGTTAACCTAGCTGAGACTCAGGAGCTCCCCATCACTCCTTTTAGGATGGCCACGCGCAAGACGATCTGGAGTCGTGGGTTGTCAGGGTTTGACACTGACCAGCCCAACGGGGGACTTAATTGCTTGCCGCCGCCCCCCCCCCGCCAGGAGAGGGGGGTTTGGGGAGAGACTGGTCAAAGGATACGTTAGTTTGAGGAATAAATCCAAAGGTCTGTTGTACAGCATGGTGGCTACAGTTAATGGCAATATACGCAGAGAGAATGTTTGGTGTTCTTCCTCCAAAACTAACTGTGGGGCAATGCAGTCGTTAACTAGCTAGATTTAACATTTCCACGATGTATATGTACTTCGAGACAATCAGGTAGGTACGCAATACATACATACAGTTTTATTTGTCAACTTTAAACAAGGTGTCGATAGAAAATCTGGGATTTGTTGTGATTGATTTAGTGAGCCAACGTTTCAGTAATTGACGATTCATCCTAAAATTGTTTCATTCAATAGAAGTCGGGTATATATTTGAAAAAAACTAATTATGTAATTGGCTTAGAATTCTGATAAGTTAAAGTATATAAGAAAAGTTTTCAAGTTCTTAAATAACGTTGGAATGTTGGGAAGACTTTAGTTTCATATGTTATCTTTGTAAGAGTTAAATACTCAGAAAGGCTTATTTGTATACGGACAGCAGCTATATTTTCAAAGCATATTGAATTTAAATGTAGAGTTTAAATGTACAGAGACTCAATTGAAAGTGGTTAAAATTTAGTAGATTTACAAACAGAATATTAAGATTTAGCTGAACTTAAAAGCCTGAGGAAGAACGAGGTTTTTGAATGTGAAATTGTACCTTTGATAATATATTGATAAAATATTTATTTTGAAATATTTACTTTTAAAACCAAAGTAGCCTATAAATACTGTGCACAAAAACCATTTGTAATGTGCCTCCAAAACTTGTTTTATAAATAAATGAGGCATGTTATAAGTTGATGATGTTTTGTTGATATTCTAAAAGCAGATTGGAATCTTTTTTACTTCTTAAAAACATATATACCCCAAGATCAAAATAATAGCATTGTTTTTAGGTATCTGTGGCAGGAATTTTTAATTATTTGTCTTTACAGGGTAAAAAAATTATGAACCCATAAGTTTTAAGTGCCTTCAAGTATGGCTTTGCCAACCTTAATTATGATTATCTGAAACAAATTAAGCTAAAGCATGCCCAGTTAAGCAGCTTTATATCTCTGGTGGTTAATTGAATACAACACCACCAAAACGCATCCAAAGGTATCGTGATTTAGCCTTACGAGCTCATTGCTAACCAAAGACCTTGAGTCTACTTCTGTCTTAGAAGGTGGCATATGCTCTCAGTCTTCTGGTTTGTTTTGCTGCATTTCCTGTGTTGCAGCAAATACCTGCTGCTCTCTGATTTCTTAAAGCCACAGACACGTTGTGCTCACTCCGGATTCTTTTGAGCCTCTTCCTTTCATGGCATGATTTCCACTTGCCTCTTTGGATTTGGCTGGTTTTTGCTGTTGTTCACCACAAAGACTGTTGTGATAAAATTGTGAACTGCAGTATTTATTTATATTATTCTAATTCCTTCTCTGCTACCAAATGTACATCATTAACATCTTCCACTTCATATGAAAATAGAACAGATAATCCAAAAATTGATCAAGTGTGGGATTTTCTTCTAATTCTTAAAATGATACCTTTTTTGGTGTGTGTATTTTTTTTTTTTTTGTAGTGTTATTCTTCCACTTCCTCAGAATGTGAAGGATTATTTACTGGATGATGGAACTCTGGTGGTTTCAGGAAGGTAAAGTATGTCAGAAAATAAATATTCCTTAAACTTTATCATAAAGGAATATTGTAATAATTGAATCTCAAATCTACCATATAAGATGAATAAATTAGCTTGGGCACTATTTCTCTCTTGTTCCTTTTCCTTCCTAGCCAAAATTCCATTCTGGCCTTGGTTTCATATTCCTTGTCAGTGCTCAATTGATGTTTTGAAAACTGAGTACTTCCCCATCTAATACTCTGCAGTTGTGAAACTGAGAGTTCCTTTCATCGCTGCCCTTAGAGCACAGATATGATACCAGCTAGTCCTTCTGGAAACGGTAGGGGGGAGGGCACATTACAACCCTTGGGGAATCCTTCAGTTTTAAGATAAAAAAAACCCATTGTCCATTGCAAACAGAAAACTTCGGTAGGTTTATTATTTAATCCCTTCACCTTTTGTCCCCCACAATCGATCTGCCATGGCCCTGCCCCCACCTTCTAGAAGCTGTTCAGGTAATTCCCCTATTTGTAGAGAAAAGGGGAAAGTTACTGTATTTCAGTCTTTTTGGGTGTGGACTTGAAAAAGTTTAAGAATTATAGAATTTGGGAATGTTCTAATGTTTGTATTCAAGTCTCTGCTCAGAAGTTCTCCTCCCTCACCATCCTTCCTTTTAAAATGGCCTGACAAGCCGGGCTTGGTGGCTCAGCCTGTAATCCCACGCATTGAGAGGCTGAGGTGAGTGGATTAACTGAGCCCGCAGGTTCGAGACCCGCCTGGGCAACTTGACGAGACCTCATCTCTACCATAAATCAAAAAATTAGCTAGGTGTGGTAGCGCGCGCCTGTAGTTGCAGCTCACTTGGAAGGCTGAGGCGGAAGGATCGCCGAGCCTAGCAGGTCGAGGTTGTGGTGGCTGGGAGCAGCCACTGCACTCCAGTCTGGGCGACAGAGTGAGACTCCAACTCAAAAAAAAAAGGCCTGACAGTGACTGGGCTCGGTGGCTCAACCTGTAATTCCAGCACTTTGGGAGGCCGAGGTGAATGGATTGTCTGAACCCGTGGGTTTGAGACCAACCTGGGCAACTTGGCAAGACCTCATTTTTACAATAAATAAAAAATTAGCCAGGCATGGTAATGCATACCTGTAGTTCTGGCTGCTTGGAAGGCTGAGGCGGAAGGATCGCTGGAGCCCAGCAGGTTGTCACTGGGGTGCCGTGAGCATGCCACTGCACTCCAGCCTGGGCGACAGAGTGAGACTTTGACTCAAAAAAAAAAAAAAAAAAAAAGACCTAAAGTTAGTAACCGTTGTTGGGGCATCGCTCTTTTCCCCTGACCTCCCTTTCCTTTTCTGCATAGCAGTTATTTCACCTGATGTGATTTCCCTTAATTCTTCTCTTAAGGGAAGGAGAACAGGGGCTTGGCCATTCTGTTCACTCAGCTCTTGGTTGGAACAGTGTCTAATATGTCAGAGGTACTTGATGAGCATTGATTGGATGAAGAAACCATAGGGATAGAATTAGAGTTGTGTGTGTTTTCATGAACTCTTTTTTTGGTGCATTGAGGTCTCACTCTTGCCCAGGCTGGAGTACAGTGGCATGATTCTGGCTCACTGCAGCCTCGACCTCAGCCTGAGCTCAGGCCATCCTTCCACATCAGCATCCTGAGTAGTTGGGACTACAGGTGCACGCCACCACTCCCAGCTACTTTATTTATTTTTTTATTTTTTGAGTCAGAGTCTTATTGTTGCCCAGGCTGGAGTGCAGTGGCACACTCGCAGCCACCACAGTCTTGACCTGCTGGGCTCAGGCGATCCTTCTGCCTTAGCTTCCCAGTAGCTGAAACCACAGGCACATGCCCCCACGCCTGGCTAATTTTTTTAATTTAATGTGGAGATGAGGTCTCGCCAAGTTGCCCAGGCTGGTCTCAAGCCCGTGGGCTCCGCCATTCCTCTCACCTTGGCCTCCCAAAGTGCTGGGATTACCAGCATGAGCCACCGCACCCAGCTTTGTTTTTATTTTTAGAAATGAAGTCTTACTGTGTTGCCCAGACTGGTTTTGAACTCCTGGGCTCAATCTTCCTGTCTCAACCCCCCAAAATGCTGGTATTACAGGCATGAGTCACTGTGCCTGACCAGTAATGTAACTTGACTTCATATTTTTGTCTGGTGAATTTTTAGCGTAGCTTTCTGTATTATGTTTCTATTTTGGTATTCATAGCCCCTTAATAACCTGAAAATTATTAATGTAGAGCCTCATTAAGTTGGAATAATTGGAGGCTAAAAAAGCAGTAGGGAAATTAAACAAGTCTCAACTTTGGTATATTTACAAACATAGTTTTGTTACTCTCAAATATAGCGTCTATAATAAGCTTATATAAATGGGAATGTAAATAAAATGACTCCTGTATTAGAAAGTACTTGGTAGCACTCAGTACTATCAACACCCTGAAGAGTTTCTGTGTTGATTTTCACTGACCAGATGTTTGCATTAACGAAGCCTCTGAGGCACGGAAGAGCTTGTCATGCAGGGAACTCGGAGAGCGTCACAGGGTCAGAGTGAGAAGGGCAGAAAGTATGAGAGTCACAGCACATGACACGAGGGAGGTGCTTAGGGTTAAGTTAGGGGTGTGCCTGGTCTGCTAAAGATGCCAGAACTTACTCTGAGCATGACCGCAGGATATTGAGGGGCTCCGAGCACGAGAGTAATCAGTCGGATTTTGGCTTCAGGCTGGTTGCTGGTGGACATGGGGGACAGGTTGGGAGGGGAGACCTTCCAGTGGCTTGAGCTACGATGGGGACAATGGAGGGCAGTGATGAACAGGTTTGAGATGACTTGGAGCTTGCATCTGCAGGGCCTGATGGTAGAGCGGGGAGTATTAGGTCTTTGTCTCGGGTTTCTGATGGAACACCTAGATGGGTGAGGATGTCATTTGCTCAGGCTGGGAAAAGCAGTGTTCACGGAGCCTTTGATTTCGAAAGGGTGGTAATTTTAGATTGGGTTCCTTTTATAGGGAAAAACTTGAAAGTTGTAGGTATGACTAACTGAGGTACATGTACAATAAAATGCATCGCCCTGAAGTGCACAGTTGGTGAACTTTGTCAGATGTGTGCACCAAATTCACACTGCAGTATTCAACATAGGGAACACTGTGTTCCCCCAAAGGTTTCTCTTACCCCTTCTTAGCTTCGTTTTGTCCATTCTCAAATTTCATGTAAATGGCATCATACAGTAAGCATTCTTTTGTGTCTGTGCAATTGGAAAAAATGCCAACTGTTTTCTTCTGCTCTCATACCACAGCAGTCAACACCGGAGACTTCTCAGACCAGATGTGTGAGGGTTCTCCCTGGCAAGCAGTCAGTCAGTTCTGCAGTGGACTCCCACCGGGCATCCTCCAGCCCAGCTTACTCCTGCCGCTCTACCTGGGGATAGCATCCATCCCAGAGGCTGAGGGCTCAGTCCCCGAAACTGGCCCCTACCTCCCATACCAGTCGCAAGCCCTAGGCTGCCTTACCTGTGCTTCTGACCGGCTGGCTGGAAATCAGGGTTCCCACAGTCCCCACCATAGATTTGATGGATTTACTGGCGCAGATCACGGAACTCAGGGAAACTCTGTGTTCTGGCTTCTTAGAAAGGACATCACGAAGGGTACAGAGGAAGGGATGCACAGGCAAGGTGTGGAGAAGGAATGTGGGGCTTCCAGGCTCTCACAGCCACTGCCTTCCTGGAACCTCCACATATTCTGTCTGGAAGCGCTGCGTCCTCTGCCTCTTGGAGCCTGTTACAGAGGCTTCGTTGGGTAGGCGTGATCCGTGCACTGACAGCCAGGTGGAAACGTGATTGGACTAAAAGGGTCCGATGGAGTAGGGACAGAGTGGGGAAGCCCAGCAAGGCCTGCCTGTTCAGAGTCTTCTTGGTCTCTCTGTGCAGCTTTTCTTCCTCCTGGGGGTGGGTCAGGGCCCTCCTGAGATGGAGGGCTTGTGGTCTACAATCGGTAAGGTAGTTCAGAGAATTTTTCCAAGGCCAGCTCCAAGAAAGAAAGGCAGGGGAAGTTCGAGCTATTTTTATTAATAGTGACTGTGACTTGCCTTGGGGAGAAAAGGGAGCAGGCAGAAGGAGGGCAGGGAAGGTCAGAGAGAGGCTGTTTTCTGAGGCTGCTTCTGAGGCCTAAAGCGTAACTGAAGACCAACGAGTGCGTGGTGAGCCAGCCCCCGAGCCGTGGGTGAAAACAATATGGATGTCATAATAGCCCGTCTGGTTTTTGAGATTCATCTGTGTTGTCCTTTGTTTTATTCCTGAGTTGTAGTCTTCAAATTTAAAAGCTCAACTCTTGTATTTGTGTATGTAGGTTTGGGTGTGTAACGATCTTAGTATATTCCTTGCTATCCTAGTCTTTTTTGCTTCCCTGAGTTTACTTTTTTTATTTTTTTATTTTTTATTTTTTTGAGTTGGAGTCTCACTCTGTTGCCCAGACTGGAGGGCAGTGGCTGCTCCTGGCCACCGCAGCCG